AAGGTGGGAGGATTGCTTGAGGCCAAGAATTCGAGATCATTCTGGGCAACATAGTGAGATGTCATCACTTAACTTTTTTTTTTTTTCCTTAATTAACCTGATGTTGTGCCATACTGTTGTAGTCTGAGCTACTGGGGAGGCTGAGGCAGGAGGATCGCTTGAGCCTAGGCCTTCAAGGCTGCAGTGAGCTATGGTGACATCATTGCTCTTCAGCCTGGGTGACAACAAGATTCTGTCCCAAAACAAATAATAAAGAGGATTCAGTAAGCTAATGATTGAGATGCATTTAGCAGTTTGCCACACAGTCATTAGAAAGAGGGCTTTGCTGTCCATGGCTCTCAGGCAAGTGTTGTGGTCCTGGGGTTTCGTGGCCCCAGTGAGTAACCTTTAGGAGGTCTCCGAACTTCCTCAAATTGCTGAATTTTATTTGCATGGGAGTCTTCTGGGGCCAGTTGTATAACCTGGCACAGAGCTGCTTATTAAGGAGGCTTCGGCTTTTGGTGTCTCTTATCCGTTGAGGGGACCTCAACCCTGTCCTGGACATGAAGCCCTGCCCTGCCCTGCCTGGACACTGTCCGTCCTTCAGGAACTGTCTTAGGATCCTCGAGTACAAATGTCCAGTCTCCCCAAAGAAAAGAAACCCCCAAGTGTTCCTTTTTCTTGGCCATTCACCTCCCGGTGGCCCCCAGGTCCCTTCTGAAGGCTTAGGTGTGGTTGCTGCCTGGGGGCAGCCCTGCGCCCCTCACTCTGACTCAGCCGTCTGTCCGCGCAGCCCTGAGGGATCGGGGTTTTTCCTGTAGACCTGTCATCAAGTTAACTCCTCAAACAAGGAGCTTGCTCTTTGTAACTATGTTAACGCCTGCTGTACTTTTAGGCCATTGGCATGTCCCCCTTTACTGAAAACAGCTTACTCCTGCCATTCCATCCCAATGTACTCCCCTCTCGGTAGCTGGCCCAGTGTGATGGGCTGACATGGATTGGTGGTCCCCATGGTCTGCTTATTGACCACAGCCTTGATGAGATGAACAGTGCTTTTACCCAATGTCCTTTTGTCCTCTTACTAGGCAATGTGAGGCCAGAAGACATCAAGAGAGTTGCTTCAAAAATGCTCCGGGGGAAACCTGCAGTGGCCGCCCTCGGTGATCTGACCGACCTGCCAACTTATGAGCACATCCAGGCAGCACTGTCCAGCAAGGATGGGCGCCTGCCCAGGACATACCGGCTCTTCCGGTAGGGTCCCCCCAAGGTGTGGCCAGGTCCAGGGGCTGTGGACAGTGTCCTCTGCACGTGCTGCCTTGGGTGTGAGTCTAGAGCCGAGGTATGGACATGGGGCTTCCCTTAAGCCTAAGGGAGCAACTGGACATCGCCAGGCCCCTACTCAGTCCTCAGTCCTTCAGAACTGAGTGTGAAGGAGTGAAGTGAGTGTTTGCCTTCACTGCTCCATACTAGAAGCCAGGCAGGGCACGTGTAGAGACAGGAGAAACACTGGCCACGACCAGCCAGGGTCAGCATCCCCCCGAGTTGGGACTTCTCGGTGCATGGGGCTGCTGTGAGTTTCTTGAGACTCTGCTGTTGAGCAGGGACGTGCCATCGGTGGGTGCCACGGGTGCCAGGCTGCTGGGCTGCAGTGTTCTGTGATGGACTCAGCTCCTGGGATGCATCCCAGGACTTAGCTCTGCAGGCTGGACCAGAGAAGAGTGCAGCCTTCCTTGTAGAGCCCAGCCCACAAGCGAGCATGGCATTGTCACTGGTAATAAATTGGTGAACTCTCCCTCACCTCAGTGTTTTCTGTCACCTTTGGTTGGTAAGGATAACAACAGCATTCCTGAAATAGACTTTTCTCCTTGACAGTCACCCGGTTTGACCTGATATCTCGAAGCCTCTCGTCCTTTAATTGTAAGGTGTGGCCTGGCTTCAGGGGTGTCACTATGTGCGGGGGTAGGGGTGGCAGCTGGGGGAGCGAGGGGAGCAGCCCCACATGATGCTGTGGGCACTTAGGAGCCAGGAGCCAGAGCGCAGGCATCAGCCTGCAGGTGCTGTTGTTTCAGGAGAGCAGTGAGGCCAGGTGGCACGGGGCAGGCTCAGCCACAGCTTCTGGTGGGGAGTCAGTGGCTTGAGCAGCCCTCTGGGGGTGGCATGGGACCCTGCAGTGGCCGCCCCGGATAGCCACTGAGTAGCTCAGTGCTGCCATAGGTCAGTACAGCTCCGGCTGTAGCAGTGGCATGGGACCCTGCAGTGGCCGCCCCGGATAGCCACTGAGTAGCTCAGTGCTGCCATAGGTCAGTACAGCTCCGGCTGTAGCAGTCAGTGGACCCCCCAGGACCCAGCTGCCTGGTCTCTGTGGGGAAGGGCCTAATAGCCTAGGCGCCTCTGCAGGGCAGACCCAAAGAAGATGTTTTAAGGACATCAGACTTCCTCTGCTCCAGCGGCTCAAGATGCCGAAAAGAAAGAAGGCCAAGGGGAAGAAGGTGGCCCTGGCCCCCACTGTGGTGAAGAAGCAGGAAGCCAAGAAGGTAGTGAATCCTCTGTTCAAGAAAAGGCCGAAGAACTTCGGCATTGGGCAGGACATCCAGCCCAAGAAGGACCTCACCTGCTTTGTCAAATGGCCCCGCTACATCTGGTTGCAGCGGCAAAGAGCCATCCTCTACAAGCGGCTGAAAGTACCTCCCGCCATTAATCAGTTCACCCGGGCCTTGGACCGCCAAACAGCTACTCAGTGGCTTAAACTGGCCCACAAGTACAGACCAGAAACAAAGCAAGAGAATAAGCAGCGACTGTTGGCCTGGGCTGAGAAGAAAGCTGCGGGCAAAGGGGATGTCCTCACTAAGATACCACGTGTCCTTAGAGCAGGGGTTAACACTGTTACCACGTTGGTGGAGAACAAGAAGGCTCAGCTGGTGGTGATGGCACACGATGTGGATCCCATTGGGCTGGTTGTCTTCCTGCCTGCCCTGTGTCGGAAGATGGGGGTCCCTTACTGCATTATCAAGGGGAAGGCCAGGCTGGGGCGTCTTGTCCACAGGAAAACCTGCACCACTGTGGCCTTCACGCAGGTTAACTCGGAAGACAAAGGAGCTCTGGCTAAGCTGGTGGAAGCCATCAGGACCAACTATGATAACAGATACGACAAGATCCGCCGTCACTGGGGAGGCAATGTCCTGGGTCCGAAGTCTGTGGCTCGCATTGCCAAGCTGGAAAAGGCTAAGGCTAAAGAACTTGCCACTAAACTGGGCTAAACGTACACTGTTGAGTTTTCTGTACATAAAAATAATAAATATTCAAGCCAACAACAACAAAAAAGGACATCAGGCTTGTGAGCTCTGCTTCTGTTACTCAGTTCTCTCACTATGCTCAAGACGTGGCATCAGCTTGTGAATGTATGTATGCGTCCATGTTTTGTCCATGGTTTCCGCCTCGCAAGGCCCGCAGACACTCTGGTTTTTGGTTGTTGGGTGCCGTAGGCCTCGGGAGACAGGATCTCTCTCTGGCCTCTGTTCTTTCACTCGCCCGAGGTGGGTCATAAGACCCCCATTCCCAAGAGGGTCCTGCCTCTCCCCTGGGAGACGGCATCTGAGCTTCAGGACTTGGTGGTCTCATCATATCATACTCTTTCTTTCCAGCCGCTTTCCACACGGTTGTCTGTTCCTCAGTCACACCTGTCCAGTGACGTCTCTGTGAAAGGCCCAAGAGCACAGGGTCCCAGAGCTTCCCTGAGAGGGCATGGAGGCTCTGCGCCCCTCCCCATCTCTCCCATCTGTGTCCTTTGTGACACCCTTTATTGTAAACTGGTAAATACATTTCCTTGAATTTTCTGAGCTGCTCCAACATGTGAAAGCCAGAGAGGGGTTCATGGGAGCCCCAGCTTAAAGCCAGCCAGGGAGACATGGGTAGTATCTAGGGGGTGGTCTTGTGGGACTGAGCCTCTCTCTGTGGGATCTGACACCACCTGGGTGGTGCTGGAATTGAATTAGAGGACACCAGCTGGTGTCTGCTGCATAATTGTTTGTTGCTGGGTAGGGAGAAGACTCCACATATTTGGGGATCACAGAATTTTTCCTTGTTTGTGAGACCAGAGGAAAATCATGGTTTGGTTTTTCCCAGCATAGGCCTGCTGTGTTTTGAAAACACTCCAGCAAGGGTGGCGCCTGTGGCTCAAGGAGTAGGACACTGGCCCTATATACCAGGGGTGGCAGGTTAAAGCCTGGCCCTGGCCAAAAACTGCAACAACAAAAAAACGCCCCAGCAAAAGTGATTGATTTGCCCTTGTCAAATCAAGCAGTGTCAGCTGCTTCTTGTGAAGTCCATGCCATTGGGGTTGGAGCCAGAGAAAATGGTCTATGTCAGTGGTTCTCAACCTTCCTAATGCCATGGCCCTTTACTACAGTTCAGTCGCAACCCATAGGTTGAGAACTGCTGGTCTATGTTCTAACTGAATTTTCAATTAGAAACTTGCTTTTTTGCCTGGAAGGAAGGCACCTGGTAGCATGCAGGTTTGGAGGTGTGACCACATGACTGAGCTGCTCCACATTCCGCAGGGGATCAGGGGAGCATCACAGGGGAGCAGGGTAGGGGCTTCTCATCAGGTGTAGCCTCAGCAGCCTGGCAACTTCCCAGTGACTCTGGCTAACTGGGTCTCAGTGTCTGGGTGCTTTGGAAGCGATGCTAGCCCAGGTTCCCTCTAGTCCCTGCTGGCCCTGGGGATATCCCCAGGCTCCCTCAGCTCCTCCTCTCTGACCCAATGTCACACTGGAACCTTCCCCAGCCACATACACCCAACAGGCTTTGCTTGGTCTCCAGCACCCACTATGCAGTCCCATCTTGCAGTCTGCTGCCCCTTCAGGATGGACATGGGCTGTCCACACTGCAGCCTGCTGTAGGCCAGACCCTGCTGTAGGCCAGACCCTGCCAGCTTGGGGCAGGACTCAGGAGACACTTACTTAATGAAGAACACAAGCAAATGAGAGCTGCATTTTAAAAAATCACCCTCACACTTGGTTGTATTTCACAACTCTTTATGAAGCTTATTTTCCATCAATATTGGCCAACTTCATTAATTTCAATTTTTAACTTGCCAAGTGAAATTCCATTCACCTTAAATCTAACATCTAGTCAGCCAAATAGCTTGACTTTGGAACCATGGTCTGGCTAGACACAGGTGGAGATCCTCCGAAGACTTGAAGCTCTTAGTAATGAACTGAATAAGTGCTCCAGTGTCAGACTAAACTCTCTTTCCTATGGTTTGGGTCAGAAAAAATGTTAGAAAGGATGCATGAAGTCATACTCATTTCACGTCCCATTACTACAAAAATCTTTGTAACAAAGAGACTTTGAATTGATTCATTTGAACAAAATCTTACGCACACAGCCCATCTGTGTAGTTCTATGGGGCTGGCTGGGACCTCTGGTTAATGGAATTCCCTTTTATATGAACAGGTTGGGTGTATATTGCTTCCACATTTGGGAAGATGACACTAATAAAAGTCTTAACACATTAGTCATTGGAGTTATTCATAATCTCACCATAGTTCACACAAGTCTGACATATTCACTTCTTCCTTTTCTGGTGACTGCTGAGCTCTGGGCCAGTGCACTGAGGTCACAGGGCTTCAATGGCCCAATCAGAAAGTGTGTGTGGTTAGTTGAGGCCAAACATTTTGCCTTTGAATTTTATAGTCTTCTAAAATAACATTGCAAGAATAGAGTATGCATATAGATTCTTTTTGGCCAAAGAGAGTATTAGATTCAATATATGCATTTATTTAAAAATATAAATATGGAAAAATAAATAATTTAAAAGACTAGATTGAATGTCCCTAGATTTTCACACATTCAAAGCCAACATTTTTCTTTCAAGAGATGGAATAAGAAACAGAGCAAGGATGAGTTCTAAACCTTCTCCAGGAAAAAAAGAACCCAAACGTGGTGGCTCCCTAGCCAGGTGGCCAGTGGGTACGTTCTAACTTTAGGCAATTCCATCATTCTGTGACTGATTTTACCAAAATAAATGGTCTGAACTGTGATGTATTTTCATATGGGAGAGGGAAAGTGGATGATTTGAGAATTGGCAGAGATTGGGGTATATGCCATGCCAGAGGTGTGGCTTGTCACCTGGGTGCTCAGGCACTCCAAGGGTCCGAGGCCCCAGGGGTGGCCTAACCTGTCCCAGCCTTTCTGCAGATACCTATATGGCATGGTGCACCCTGTGGAGGAAGGGCTTGGCTCTCGGGGGCTGTGTTGGGGCTGTCAGGAGGAGGCTGATCCACACACACCTGACCTGGGTGAAGGGAAGAGCAAAGGGTAGCAAGGGGAAGTGCTATGCTAACTACCAGGAAGCAGGGGGTGGAGGGGGTGGGGGACCCCGCAACTGCCCGCTCTGAGAGCGAAGCTCCCCGTACCCCTGGGGATGCATCCTGGCTGGGTGGATGTGCTCAGGGTGTGGGCCACATCCTTTGTGGGACACTGACATGGCAGGGCACAGCACAGCCTCACCACAGCCCCACTGTTGTCCCAGAGCTTCCTGGAAAATAGTGGGACAGCATGGCCTGGCTCCTGAGGGTCCCAATGAAGGTGGGAGGTCACCCAGGGGCAAACACTTCTGTATTTCCAGTAACTTCTCCCATGTTGCAGCTGATGAGTCCTTGTGAGGCAAGCTTCAGGAAACAGTGCAAATGGTGCTGGAGCTTTGATTCTTCAGTGCCTGCTGTCTCTGAATCTCTTTTGAAATCCGCCTTTTAATTCCTATCAAGTACAGCTCTCGGTCAAACTTGCCAGCAGCCAGCGGGATGCTGTGGAAGAAAGAATCGCTGGGAGGGGGCCCTAGTCCTGCTCAGCTTCCGCATGCAGAGCCCTGGTCCTGGGCGGAGCCCTAGGAAGGGATGGGTGGCTGCCAGGGGGTGTAAGGCCTTCATCCCCTGCCCGGCACTGCTGGGTCGGCTCAGCTTCACTTCCTAAAACCTCCTCAGCCTTATAGGCCACAGACACCCACAATGTGACAGTGACATGCACACCCACATCCACATGCTGCTGACCCCAGGCCCCAAGAGAGGATGTGCACAGAAGACACTGACTTGTCACGCCCTGGCCGCACTTTCACCCGGAACAGGCCGTACACAGGGCGGTGGTCAGAAGTCTTGATCCCAGGGCAGGAAGAATACTTCACCGGACAGATGTCACCCTTGTGGCGGCTTCTGTACAGGACCCGGTCCTTTGGGAAGAGATTATATCCAGAAGCAGAAGACCAATTATATGTCACTGCCATTCTTAAGCAATCCTTGGGAGCCCCTTCCCAGGACACTGGCTCTTAGGCTCATTCTGATGCTGGCCTCCTATGGGCCGGGGCCTGTCCCTTGCTGTTCAGGACAGTGTAGGGATGGAACCTGCTCCCACCCAGCTCTGCTTCAGTGGCTCCCCGAGACCCCAGTGTGCCCAGTCTTGAGCGGCAGGCCTAGGGGAGAGCAAGGCAAGGCGGCTGGTGTGTCTGGCAGCTAGCTCAGGGTGCCAGAGCACAGCTTCATGGCCTTGCTCTTCACCAAAGGAGACTCTGATGTAGGGTTGCTGGCCATAGGTAAACAGCCAGGGTGTGGAGCTGAGTTTCAAGTCCAGACCTTCCAGGGCCTGGCCTAGGCAGTGAGCCATTTTGACTCCAGATGCCAGGCACGAGCTCCTGGTGATCCCCACCCTGAAACCATCTGCCCAGGAGGCAGGGCCGGGTGTGGTGCTCACGGTGTAGGAAGGGGTCCTCTGCTTGGAGGTGCTGTCGTAGGTGTCCTTCCCAATGTCAAACTTGTACGACGGCAGGAAGTGGATATCCGGCTCCTGGAAGCCCTTGAAGATGGACCCTGCAAGCCAATATCGCTCAGACCAGGGCTCTGGGCTGCTCAGATAGGCTGTGGCCCCTGGGATGCTCACCTTTCCTCATCTCTCGGGTAAGCTGGTCATGCTGCAGCAGTGTTGGCACATCTGTCTCCGCACCTTGCAGCAGGAGGGTATCCACAGCCGCACGCCCACCACTCAGGCGGAAGTTGAAGTCTCCAAACCAGAACACCTCATCAAACCGGGTGGTGACGTCCGCTGCAGCAGATGTGGGATGGGCGTTGGAACCAAGCCCCAGGGAGCTGGGCTTCCGGCACAGGAGCAGGACAGGAGTTAGGGCCTGGGTCCCTCCCCTCCCATAGAATCAGCCTGGCATGGGCACTGGCAGAGCAACAAAATGGGCCGCCGGGACTCTCTGGGTGGTGCCCACATTCTGACCACCCGGAAAGCACCTGGAGTGGCCTCAGGAGCAGCCTGAGGCTCGAGGTAGCAAGGGCTACACCACACAGTAGGGAAGGAGGTGAGTGGGCAGGCCAGTGGGGCAGCAAGCATCCAACTGCCTAGTTGCTAACTGGGCTAAAGAATAGCCACCCACTGTGGGTGGCCAGGCGCCCAGAGCGATATCTCTGACCTTGCTTCTCAGAAGTTCTAGACATGGCTTCTGCTGACTATGCAGGAGATCCCTGTGTGAGTTGGCTGAGGGCCCTCACCTGCGCTGGAGCGGTAGGGGTTGGTGTCTGGCACATTCCTGGGCAGGGTCAGGGCCTGCACGGTCCTGGTGTAGTCCAGCAGCCGCTCTGCCACCTTCCCATCTCCAGCTGCAGGAACAGAAACCAGGCAGGAGACCGAGCGTTCTGTGTACTCATGTCCCCAATACAGAGTCCCTGAACTATGCTCTGACCATGAGGCGTCTATAACAGGGTGTACGAGTGTCTGCTGCAAGGCCTGGTCACTGACACCATTGCCTCAGCCTGTGCAGCATGGGATTGTCTCAACAGCAGTGACAGTTCCAATTGCCAAGAACTATCCTCAGGGTCCTTACCAAGTGTGGTGCCTGAAAGGAGTACTCAGAGCTCCTCTGCAGCCCCAGGAGCCACTGCCAAGTAACTGACACCCCTGTCCTGGACAGAGGCCTAGTCAGTGCAGGGGAAGGTCTGCATAGCACATCAGGGCCCAGACACTGAGGGACTCACAGGTGAAGTGTGAGGTGATGAACAGGAAGGAGGTACCGAAGAAGGTGAAGCTGACACCCAGGGCCCCCTTGGTTTTGATCTGAGACACGATGCGTGTGGTCACCGTGGAGGACTCCACCTCTGCTTGGGGGATGGGAAGGAAGCACAGCCCTTCAGTCCACCTGTGTGGGACGCTGCCATGCCCATGTGGGTCATGTCTGCGTGTTTCTGCAAGGGGTGGGACCGCCAGGGTTCCAATTCCCAGCTGAGAGGCAGTAGGTTGGGCTGTGGAAAGGGGAGCATAGCTGGGGTGGTGCCCACCTGGGGCTGAGAGCACCTACCTGAGCAGAACCAGATGAGGTCCCGGCGGAGGAAAAGGGACATATAGAGCACCCCATGGGCCGCCGAGGACAGCAGCACATAGTGGGGGCCCAGTGTCTCCTGCAGACGAGTCTCCCACTCCCGCCTGTGCAGAGGAAACGTAGCTGCTAGCGGCAGGCGGGAACCTCCAGCCTCTCCACCCCCAGACCACTGTCCCTGGAGCCCCTGGAGGAACTGCCAGGGAAGCCCAAGTTGGCAGATAAACAGAGGGGCACAATGGGTGCCTGTTGCCATGAGGAGCCTGCTGGTGGCCCCAGGTTCTGGCTGCAGTGGTGTGGGCCCATCCTAGATCCCTGCGGAGACCCTACTGTGCTCTCTCCCACCCTAGTGAACACCCTGCATACCCCATCTGGCAGCCAAGCACTGGTGGGCCCACCTCAACTTGGGGTCACTTAACTCCAGGGCAGAGCCCTTCCTCTGGAGTGTATGGTGCCAGGGAGGCCCCTGTTCTCTTCATGGTTCTGGGGGCCCACATGAGGCTCCCCAGGGGACCTACTCAACAGCTTCTAGAGAGACTTGCAAGGCACAGGAAGACTGAGGACAGGTTGGCAAGGCCACTAGTAGTCAGGCTCAGAGGCCGCTAATGGGCCACGGCCTGCACAAAACACTTGCCTTTTGCCACCTTGTCTTAAAAACCAACTATTTGATCACAAAAAAATAAAATACCATTTAAAATTCTCTGAGTCACCATTTGAGAAGAAACCTACTCGCACACCCGCCTCAGGCTTGGAGGCTGCCTGAGTCTGGCTGCATATGGGGGTCTCAGAGCCCACCAGCAGGACACTGGAGGCCCATGGGCTTGAGGGAGCATGGGCCATACCCTACCTGTCAGAGCAGCCCTCCTGCACCCCGACCACATACAGGTCTTGGGCGTAGTCTGCCTCCGCAGGAAGCAGGAACTCATCCAGGCTTGGCGGGAGCTCCTGGGGAAGAGCCACGTGAGGTCGGCTGAGGCCAGCAGGCACTCTGCCTGCGTCCCCGCAGTGTCGTCTAGAGGTGGGCACTGAGCATCTCTCCTCAATGGAGGGAAACTGAGGCCACAACTGAGCAAGGATCTGCCTGGCAGTCAGTGAAGAGTCCTGGGCTCAGTTTCTAAGGAGCCCAATACACCAAAGATGCTCCCAGTCTGGTGAGGTCACCCTCAGCCTTGGTTTCCCACCCCAAACATGAGTTTGTCCAGTAAGCACCTCTGCATCTATGTCCAAGGATGTGCTTGGCACCTGGACATCCAGCCTGGGCTCCTCACCCTCCACCTCCACCAGGCAGGCCTCCTGCTCCCTCAAGGCAGATGCAATCCTGGCCAGGCTTGTGCGCCACCCTACATTTGCCTGCCTCTCTGCCACCATGGAGAGCGCTCCTCTCTGAAGCACTGTGGGCCGAAGGACCCTCATAAGGCAAGTGTGTGCCCCCTTGCCCATCTTCATCGTCTGGGGAGCAGTGGGGTGAGTTGTGGGGCTCTGTCCCTCCTGGGCCTAGGCCAATTGGAAAACAGGCTCCTCAGCCAGCCCCGCCTCTGTCCTGAGCCTCCTTCACATGCGTCATGCCCAGTACCTCGTGCCGCTCACCTTCTGGCCTTGCATGTTCCAGGTGGCCACGAAGAGGGCCATGTTCCGGTCTGGGAAGTAGCGAGCCAGCTCTTCCGCCCCCAGCAGGGCCCCACTGGCCAGGAGACTCCCCTCCAGGTAGCTCCTATGAGGAGAGGACACTGACCTTGTAACCCAGACACATGGCACTTGCAGTGGCCCAGGATGGGCCAGCACCTGGACACACCTCTGGAGTTTCAGTGCCCCAGGCCACTCAGGTCCTGAGGAATAGTAGCAAACCCCATGGAATGTCAGGAGTGGTACCCTTGGAGTGAGGGTTCTCTGCAGGCCCCAGAGGCCTCTGTGCCAAAGCAGGGCACTCATCCGCCTGCTCCTGGAAGGTGCACCCTACTACCCTGCACGCACAGCAGCCATGGGTCACTGTCTTCGACTGCCTCCTGGAAGAAGGGCACCAGGTGACACTGTGGGCTGTTCGGTGGTGAGGGCCAGGGAATGCCATGGACTGTCCCAGAGAGGTGCTTCCGCACCATGGGGAGGGGCACATCTTCACAGGTGGGGCCGATCCTCCAATCCCCCCAACAACCCCTGGCAGAATAGTCTGGGACAGGGAAGTGCAAAGGCCTCACATAGATACCACGCCTGTCTTCACCACACCCCATGGTTTCAATCCATTTTCAAATTTTAATATAAGGAAGCATGCAAATGGCTAAACCAAATCATACTGCAGACACGTACCAAAAGGGCAAAGCCCCAAACCCCAGCCTGCCTGGGCCCACCAGGACATGCCCACACTTAACAGCTTCTACCATGAGGGTTGGCAATCTTGTTCTGTAAAGAGCAGACAGTACATATTTTTGGCTTCATGGGATACCTGGTCTCTGTCACAACTCCTAGACTCTGCCACTGCAGCTTACAAGCCACCACAGCTGAGAGGATGGGCATGGCTAAGTGTCAATAAAACTTTATTTACGTCGACACTGAAATAGGAATTTCATGATATTCTCATATCACAAAATGTCAGAATTATTTTGATTGCTTCCAGCCAATTGCTTCTAACCCATTCTTAGCTCCTGGACTGGGTATATGCTGGTGGCGGCCAGATTTGCCAATGTTGGTCTGCAGCTCCCCTTTGAGCTCCCCTGAGCTCCCCTCTGCCCTGCCATGGCACCTCCCACACTGCTCTGCACCTAGCCTGCTAGTGCCCCTGCACTGTGCACTGTCCAGCTGTCTAGCTTTTCCCAGCTGCAATGGCCACAGCCCCTCTTCTTTCAGGGAACCCTCCTTCTGGAACCCTGTTCCAACCCAATTCTACCCTCTCCCCCACCCCCTAGGGTAAGGCCAGGCTACTCCCTGAATCAGGTCCTAGTTGAAATTCATACCACCCCTTGTATCTGTCCTTTTCTACATCGCAGCCCCACCCCCACCCAGCCACCCACCTGTCCTGTGCAGTCACAGGCACCATGCAGCCTTGCATGACCTCCAGTGTCCCCAGAGCGTTCGTCAGATTCCTCCCTACTTCCAGGCAGGACACCTAGCCTGGGGCACAGCGTGGATAAGTGGCTTCAGATGGCATTGCCTTGGCAACCTCTCAGACCATCCTGCCCTCACCAGCAGCTGTGGCCCCAGCACCCCCAATGTCTCTAGGAGTCGCCAGCAGCTGCTTTTTCCAGAGGCCCTTTCTATTTTCACTACACAAGAGGTCCTTAACTCTTCTCAAGGACACTGCCTGTTTCATCCAAGGTCACTTCCACCAGGTAATCTCAGTCTTGTTCCCCACCTGGTCCTGACCATTGAGGATGTGCCTCCGGAGCCATGTGGAGTCTGTGACGTGATGAGGCTACACTTTAGGTGCAGCTGATGACACTGGGATGTGGATGGCTTTTCCCTGGGGCTGAACTAATCCATACAGGTTGGTCAACACCCCATTCTCGGCCCTGAGGTCATCCTATTCCAAGCTGCCACCTGTACCTGCCTTCCAGGAAAGGGTAGGATCCTTCCGCTCCAAGGCCCCCTGCCTCTGGCTCTCTCATCACCATAGGTTTGTTCGTGAATGGAACATGATTTTGTCTCCTTACTGCCACTGCACGGCAGTATCAAAGAGGGGCAGGAATGCCTGTAGTCTGCTGATGGGAACTCCAGAGTGTTTTCCAAGCTCTGACTTGCTCTTTTCATTCTAACTTGCTAGGAAAACCTCATGCCTTTGTCTTGCAGGCAGGAACCAACAGTCCTTCGAAGGGAGCAAGGTGCAGGGCACGTCTCCTGAGCTGACCAACCAAGAAACTCTTTAACCCACCCAACTTCACAGCCCACAAGAGTGATTTCCACACTTATAAAAGGTTGGAAAATAAAAAAGAATGGCATTTTGTGGCTCAGTGACCGTAGCTCAGCGGCTAGGGAGCCAGCCACATACACCAGGGCTAGCAGGTTTAAATGTAGCCCAGGCCTGCCAAACAACAATGGCAACTACAACACCACCACCACCAAAAAAAAATTAGCCGGGCAATGTGGTGGGCACCTGTAGTTCCAGCTACTTGGGAGGCTGAGACAAGAGAATTGCTTAAGCCCAAGAGTTAGAGGTTGCTGTGAGCTGTGATACCACAAAACTCTACCAAGGATGACATAGTGAGACTCTGTCTCAAAAAAAAAAAAAAATAGCTTTTCATGAACCAAGAAAATTACCTAAAATTCAAGCTTGTGTCCCTAACTAGGGCTTCGTCCATACGTGGCCACCACTCTGTCCCACGGTATCTACAGTGCTCTCCCTCTAAAATAGCAGCTAAGCACTGGACCAGCCAACCCTCCTCTAGAACAGACACAAGGTCTGGAAACAGGGAGCTCTTGGCAGCAGACCTGGGTTGGATCCCCATCAACCCATCATTCCCTGGTTCTCTATGAAAGACGGCCTGAGGGTTCAATTCTGAAATCCCACGTACTATCAATTCCCATTTTCTACAAAGGAGATATCTAATTAAGTTGCACATAATTTTTAAAATGCACTTAGAAATCTCACCATTTAAAGGAAACCTTATAGACTTGGTGCCTATAACACAGTAGTTATGGAGCCGGCCACATACGCCCAGGCTGGTGGGTTTGAACACGGCTCAGGCTAAATAACAATGACAACTGCCAACAAAAAAATAACCGGGTGTTGTGGCAAGTGTCTGTAGTCCCAGGTACTTGGGAGGCTGAGGCAAGACAATTACTTCAGCCAGTGGTTCTCAACCTTCCTAATGCCGTGGCCCTTTAATACAGTTCCTGTGGGTCGCAACCACAGGAGAAATGCTGGCTTAAGCCCTAAAGTTTGAGGTTGCTGTGAGCTGTGATGCCACAGCACTCCAATGAGGGCAACACAGTAAGAGTCTGTCTCAAAAAAAAAAAAAAAAAAGAAAGAAAAGAAAAGAAAAGAAACCTTGTAATAAATTACTTTAATGAATGAACTGTTCTGTCCGATATGATCCCATATGCTGGACCCAAGGGTGAGACTGGGATGGAGGCCTCCCAGGCCCTGAGACTCTCTGAGAGGAGGGCAGCCCTGCCTACACATTGATCTTGGACTTAAAGAACTGGGAGAGAGTCAGGTTCTGCCACCATCTGTAGCCACAGGTTACAGTGGCCCAAGACATCAATACAGGAACCACCTCCCACCTCCTCTTTCTCCCATCCCCAACACGTCTAGATAGACAGGACTTGGGCAGCATGGCTGTGGGGTGGGGCCAGAGGGAAGGGTATAAGCCCTGAGACAGAGATCCCAAGAATCCCTACACAAGACCAGGCTTGAAAGAGAAAGTCATTGGTTTGTTGAGGCTGAGCTCAAAAGTCTCTGGAAGCCCTAAGCTGGTGAATTCACAGCTCTGGTCTCAGAGAGATGGGCCAGAGACGTGAATTTGGGAGTCACAAGAAGGACATCATGGATGACACTTAGGTTCTTCTCAAGCTATAAAACAGTCAATGTGGATTAATTATTAACGTCACAGAAAACCCAAGAAAACGTCACAGAAGCCAAGGGCCTGTACATCCTCCTGTGATGTGACTGCCCCACCCCCACATCAGTCACAGGATGAGGGGCAGAGTGAGAACCTGGTGACAGAGCATTTAGCAAATGTAGTCACAGAACAGCAAGGGCTCGTGTTCCAGAAGGCACCATGTACTCCCCTAGGAAGACAAGTGAAGCAACATCTCCAAGAGTGAGTGGATGCTGGGGTAGTGAGTGCCCCTGGGTCCAGCAAGTTCATGTCCATCTATCCATCCTGGGAAAACGCTTGCATGTGTCCCAAGAGCCCTCCCCAGCTGCTGGATGCAGCACTCCTTCCAGCAATAGCTGGAGTTCATCTAAGTCTGCCACGGCCCATCACATCCACTACCTCACTTCTGCAGCAGAGAAATGAGGCAGAGTCCTACACATTGGCAAGAAAGTTGTCAAAGACAAAATGAGAACAAGAAATAAGAACACAAGATACTGGCTCGGTGCCTGTGGCTCAAGCGGCTAAGACACCAGGTACGTAAACCTGAGCTGGTGGGTTTGAATCCAGCCCGGGCCCGCCAAACAACAATGACGGCTACAAACAAAAAATAGCCAGGTGTTGTGGCAGGGGCCTGTAGTCCCACCTACTTGGGAGGTGGAGGCAGGAGACTTGCTTGAGCCCAGGAGTTGGAGGTTGCTGTGAGCTGTTACGCCACAGCACTTTACCCACGGGGACAGCTTGAGGCTCAGTCTCAAAAAAAAAAAAAAGAACACAAGATATAGAATAGCATGTAGAATTCCATCTCCTCTGTCTAAACAAGTCAAAATGGTGTATTTTTTTTTTTTTTTTTTGTAGAGACAGAGTCTCACTTTTTCGCCCTTGGTAGACTGCAGCGGAGTCGCTCCAGCAACCTCCAACTCCTGGGCTTAGGCAATTCTTCTGCCTCAGCCTCCCAAGTAGCTGGGACTACAGGCGCCCGCCACAACGCCCGGCTATTTTTTGTTGCAGTTTGGCCGGGGCTGGGTTTGAACCCGCCACCCTCGGTATATGGGGCCGGCGCCCTACTCACTGAGCCACAGGCACCTCCCCCAAATGGTGTATTTTTATGGGTACATCATACCCCCAAACAATTCTAAAACGCAAGGGAAAGTTCTGGAATAACAGAGAGAGACCTGGAAAGGGCACTGCTGCTGGGGAGGGTCTGGGTGGCTGTAGGTGGACTTGTGTTAGTTTGTATGTGTATCTGAAATGCTGTTTATGAGAATATAGCAGAGCCTCCATAGCCAACCACCTTTCTACACTGACCACCTCCTCAAGTTGACCTGATTTTCATAGACTGGACGTGCACCACATGTACCTATCAGTGCAGCAGATCTAGTCCATTGCGTTGACCACTTTTGGATGTTGACCAGTGTGTGCAGGCCCTTGGGTGGTCACCTCACAGAGGCTCTGCTATATATTCATGCAACTCTTATGCACTGTGCCTTAAACTTTTTTTTTTTTTTTTGAGACAGAGTCTCAAGCTGCTGCCTTGGGTAGAGTGCTGTAGCATCATAGCTCACAGTAACCTTCAACTCTTGGGCTCAAGCGATCTATCCTCGTCTCAGTTTTTATATTTTAGTAGAGACGGGGGTCTCCCTTTTGCTTAGGCTGGTCTCGAACTCATGAGTTCAAGCTACCCACTCACCTCAGGCTCCCACTGTGCTAGGATTATAGGCATGAGCCACCGAGCCTGGCCAAAACCGTGCTTTCGTTAAAACAAAGATTGAAAACGACACAGCCCCACACCCAAGCCCTACCTGCTGCGGACGTCCTTAGTGCGAATGGGCGTCAGGAGACTGAAGGCAGAGTTGGCTGAGCGAAGGGAACAACTGTCACAGGCCAGGGGGCTCCGTGGCCGTCCAGGGCCCAGGCTGCTGTGGGCGCGTACCAGTCTGGTCTGCACGCGGCGCTTATAGTCAGCATGGTCAGTGTCAACCTTGTTCGCTGTCCTCAGTGAATTGGAGGTGACATCCAGGTCCATGGCAGGAGGTGGGCGTGGGGGAAGCAAGCTGGCCAGCCTGGGAGAGCCCTCAGTGCAGAGCTCTTCTCTGTGCAGGAGGTCCAGGGAGCAGCTGAGCACTCCAGACAGACACCTACCCCCAGGGGACGGGCTCCCTCCTTCGCTGCTTGGGGCCCTGGGGCACTTGGGGATGTCCTGCAAGGAGGTGCTCAGGCAGGGTGGGGAGGGACTGTGGGCAGGGGCTAGGGGTGCCTGTCTCTGTTTGGAGGCCCTGGAGGGACAAGCCTCATTCCCAGCTTCCGGGTCATCATGGCTGCCTTGAAAATGCCTTCTCCTCCAGCCCTTATCGTCAAGCGACAGGGCTCGCTCCAGCCTGGGCCTTGCAGGGGGATGTGGGGTGATGGGTTTTGCCTTAGCTTGCGGGTCCCCACTGCTAAGTTTGGCCGGAATGCTGAAAGGAAGTACGGGGCTCTTCTCCGGGCCTTGACAGCAGGTGGTGGTTGGGGCCCCGGTGCCGGAGCTCTGTGCGAGGTCTTTGTCTGTGCTCGGGAGCTGTCCCTTAAGCATTCTGCCTTCAGACTGCTGCGGAGGTCGCAAGCACAGTGACTCGGACGGCATAGTTGGCGGCCCCGCCAGCTCTCACGGGCGGCCGTGGCCTGACCCTCTCTGACGAGGCCTCCTTAGGCTGCTGGCAACACGCAGTGTCAGGGATACCAGGTCAGAGGTCAGAGGGAGAAGCACAGGTAAGAAACTCGGCAGCGGCTCCAGTTCCGGTTTGGAGGTCTCCCAAAGGGGCAGGGGCCGTGGCTGCATGGCTGGTTACCCTGGAGTCCCGCAGTCTCTAAAGGAAAACCCCGAGGTCAGCATCCGCGGCTCCCTCTGACGCCGACTCAACGTTTCCAGGGGCCGCGGGGAGACGACGGGGTAGGGGAGGCCGGCGGGGGCCCCGGGTCGGCGCAGATGGGTGCGGCCACAAGGGCCGGAGCGCGGCGGGCGGGGCAACGACCAGGCCCGCCGAGGTCCGCGCCCCGAATCCCAGTCCCGCGCCCCAGACCTGCGCCCGGGGTCACCTCGCCGCCTCCTCCAGCCCCTGTAGTCCACACTCGAACACTGAGCCCTGGCTCTGCTCCGCACACCGCTCTCCAGGCGCCCTGGCCGCACACTTCCTTCCGTCCCTCCTTGGCGCCCGCCCTCCCACAGCGGCCCCTGGCGACCGGAGGACCGCGCCGGCCAAGCCCGGAGGGCCCCGCCCCCCTCATACCCCACAACTCTCCGGGTCGGAGGAGCAGTGGCCAGGCGGCCCCAGGACACCTGTGCTCACTGGCTTCCAGCAAACCAAAGGAAACTCACAAATGACGTGCTTGAGCCCGCAAAATATTTTATTCAACAATTTGCAATGTAATAATTTTCATTTAGGAAAAATAGCAGCTCCCGCCTGGAGGAAGCTTCTTGAATCAAAAGTCATGGACAGTCCACCAGAGAACAGTGGGCAGCACTAGACTGCAGAAGGTCCAGGAACCGCACCAGCTGACCAAGGGGCACAGGGCTGCCCAGGCATAGGGACAGGCCTTTCTCAAAGTGCCACGAACTGGTGGATCTGGTCAGATGCATCTGTGAGGCGTCCTAAAAGATGCTCTGGGTCCTTCCTAGATGATCAAGTAGAACAGAAAATCGGGAAGGGCCTGAGCTAAATCCATATTCTATAATTTCTACACTTAAAATACCAAACTGCTTATGTTCCCCCAGGAGAAGCTACAGAAATTATTACCTATTGATTTTTATAAATATTTAAATCTTTTTTCTTCAGTCTCTTTAGATTTAACAACGGTACGAAGAGTTTTCAGAACAGTCAATGACACCTTAAAGCTCAGAGCCCACTGAGAGGGTCTTGCAGGTCCACATGGCCAAGCTGGTGCAGGAGCGGCTTCGGACGCAGACCCAGAAGCATCAGGCCTCAGAGCTGCGGCAAGAATTGTTTGAGCCATTCTTTTCATCATGTCACCAATCCTCAAATGATGACACCCAGGTGAGAGAAAGGAGGTCAGCTGGCCAGCACTGTAGAAACCATTCTTGAGAAAGCACAGCCCCTTCAGAGTGTGCACTCCAGGTCCTGAACAGTGACACCCACCAAACTGTGGATATCGTGGGGTGGCAGCGCTGTCCTTCAGGTGCATGGAACACCCATGGTTCTAACTGGGCTACAGGAGAGATTCGTTTCAGTGACCGGAGCCTCTCTCAAAACCTAACTCTGAACCATTGCCAAACAAATGCTCCCTCTGCTAAGATTCTGCCTGAGAATGAGGCTTCTATTCTAGTCACTCTTTCAGGCTCTCCAACAGGGCAGAGCTGTCCCTGGCTGCAGAGCAGGTGGCAGTATCTCCTTCTTCAAGTCAAACATCTACTCTTTTCTCCCAACATCTTAAAGAAGGTATGGGATTACCTGGGCAATAGTTCACAGCTGGGTTTTGAGAGAGGCCCCGAGTTATTGATGAACAATGCCCTCCTGCACTGAAGAATTCTATGTTCATTCAATGGAATAGAATATTCTTGTATGACTGAGAATGTTATATCCTTAAATCACCTGAAATGACTTAAGAAAGTATCACTTTAGGTAAAAGATGAGTCAAAGATTCATTCTTTTCATCCAGCATCTGAAAGGAGCTGTGGAATTAATTTCTGAAATAATTCATAGAAACACGTGGGAGGGAGGGAGATGCAGAGTATGACCAGCTCTGAGTTACTGCTCTTCTGGTGTGCAGTCGGCTTCTTGGTAGAGAACAGTCATCTGAGGGTTCCAGATGCAAATTCTAAATAGGGACATTTCTAGTTCAATGTTGGGTATTTCCTCTGGCCAATCCTTCCTGGTCGCGAGCTCCCAGGGGTAGTAGAAACCTGAAAGAGAGAAACTACACTGACCTCTGCATGTCTGCCCCAGGGACAGTGCAACACGGCCCTGTCTGTGTGGTAAAGCACACAGGCTGCCGACACCAGCGAGTGGAACACTTTGTTTCTCTATCTAAAAGCCCATGAGAACTGATAATTCAGCACCAAACATGGGCTGCCTAAAAAAGTACCCATCGTTAACCAGCAGTATTTGCTATTTTGCTTTTGTAAGGACGGTAAGACCTGAGGCTGATTCTGCAGAGGTGGCTGAGTGTCAGGAGGTTCAGGGAGGGTTGGTGGCCTGGGGCCTGACCTGCTACTGCAGGGACACCAGGTGAAGACAGCTGACCAATGCAGGCATTACCTCTGCTCCCTCTCAAAACCTGAGATCAAAGTCAAGAAATTTTATAATAAAGGCAAACTAAAAGATAAAGCTGACAGGAGGAAAAAGACAACCAAATCTTTTTTTTTTTTTTTGTCTATTTGAGATAGTCTCTCACTCCATCACCCTGGGTAGAGTGCCATGGCATAGCTCATAGCAACCTCGAATTCATGGCTTGGGCAACTCTTGCCCTCAGCCTCCTAAGTAGCTGGGACTATAGGAATACACCATCACATCCAGTTAAGTTTTTGTATTTTTAGTAGAAGCAATGTCTCACTCTTGCTCAGACTGGTGTTGAACTCCTGAGCTCAAGCAATCTTCCTGCCTCAGCCTCCCAGATACAGGTGTAAGCCACCATACCCGGTCCAGAAAACAACCCAACTTTGAAGCTGAAAAGCAGATGGGTGGCCAAGCAGCAGTGTGGGATGTCCTGGGAGCATCAGCCTCATCAGAGGATGAGGCAGGGAGTACTGGCCCCCCCCCAGGAGGACTGCAGTCAAGAGGAAGAGAGGCCAGCCCATAGGCCACTGAGGGCAGACTGGAACAGCAATAGAGCTGAGTGCCAAGACACTTGCAGACCTCAGCCCTCACTGAGGTCCCCTTAACTGGCAGCCAGTCTGTTCTCTACAGGCATGAAACTAAAGGGAAAGCAAGGAAACACTCAGAAACGTTCCTCAACCATGATGTGTGAGCTCAGGTCCAAAGGCAGCTGAGGGCTGTACTCTGAGGGGGCAGCGCCCTGAGGCTGGAGAAGGCCCTCAGGCTGCAAAGAGAGACAGAGAGGAGCTACATGCAGACAGAGCTGGGCCGGAGCATCACCACCACCTTCAGTTCTGAACAAACGGCTTCTGCCCAAGGAGCCTATCCTGCCAAGCAATCCCGCAAATATGCCCACAGAATACATTTTCAAACCTTTTATCTCATAGCCCACTTGAGCTGCTAGTTAAACTTCTGTGGCAACTTAAATTATGTTGCTCAAAAAACAGTAATAAAAAAAAGTATACTTACTACTGTGCTTTGTACTTCTTTCAAAAATAACTTAATTAACAATCTTTAAAAATTTCCATGGCACACCTAAGATCCTCTCACAGCACACCAGTGTGCAGTGCAACACCAGCTGAAAATCACTGCCCTACAATAAAGGTATTTTCAGACAAGAAGGCTCTATAAACTCACCTTTGTACCTTTTTGTCAAGGAGCTACTGAGAAAGAATAATTTTAAAAACCTAAAAAAAAAAAAAAAGCAGCAGCTAGTGGAGGATGTGTGTCACCTGGACAAACAGAACAACCAACAAAGCAACAGCAAACTCCAGACCCAGGATGAGGGCGGTGAGCAGAGCCTGAGGGTCGCTCCCATCTGGGAAGCCAGAGGCACCTGGGCCCAAACAGTCAGGGAGCAGCACCCAAAGGAGGCTACCAGCTGAACAAGGCTGCACACCCACATGGACTAGAGGAGTTTGAAGTGACAGCCTCTGGAGAGGCAGAGTAGGGCACTCCCATCACAAAGAACACAGGGATAGAAGCTGATATTCACCGAGCAGCTGGGCCAGTAAGTCAGCCAGTAAGCTGGGGTCGCACGGGCCACTCACCTGTGCCAACTGAGCAGGGTTGTAGAAGGGCACGGTGCCCCCAGGAGGGCCCCCTGCAGCAGGGAGGTCGCCAGGAGCCTGAGAACCACAGAGAAGTTACCTCAGCAATGCAGAGCTACACAATAGCAGCTCCAGCCACTGACATAGACCCTATTTCTGAGTAATAATTTATGATACAGAAGCAGGTTAAAGATACTTCTCATAACACTGAACTTAGCTGTTTAATGGTTCATAGAAAAATGGTAAAAATAAAAGCAACATGCAGAGTCAAATGCATTAAACACCAGAGCATGCAGAGATAAGGAATGCACAGCACATGGGCAGCACGTCAGTCTCAGTCTCAGTTAGTAGGGTTTCTGATTACTGCAGGCCTAAAGTACCCAACTATAAAACCCAGCATTCTAATGTGCAGGCAGCAAGGTCACACCAAGTCTTTCTGCTGAGCCACTGCACACAGCTCAGCCCCACAGTACACACAGAAGATGGAGTATTTCTTTGTCCCCACCCAGACTGGCTGCAAGATGTCATCTCACTGGCCTCCAACAAACCTTGCCGTGCCTCATCAGAAAGAAAACCCTCCTTCCAAAGGAGAGCATCCTGACACAGGACCCAGGAGGACACACCCAGGCCCATTATTGGAAAACCAATTCAGAAAGAGCAATGTTACTTGAGCATTTTGGGGGTCAATTCAATCATCACATCTGAAGTGTAACAACAAAATCCCTTTAAGGTGATTTTAAAAAAGGAACACTGCATTCTGGGCCACGCAGGTCTGGGTGAGGCAGCGCACAGCACACGTGAGCCCGCTACTGTACACTAAGGAGAATAGGATGAGACTCACACGAGGGGAGAGAGGACCGCCAGCCACAGGTACCTGATTAAAGTGCTGGCTTACTTCCCTCGATAACGAACTCATTGAACTACAGCGTGAAAGCTACAAAACAGCAAGAACACACACAAAACACAGACAAAAAATCAACATGCATGTCACTGCTCCAAGCTGTCAGTTCAATTTCAAAAGCTTTCTGATGCTATTAGAATATATAATTCAAGAGGGGAAAAAGCCAGAGTTAGCTTAAAAATTCCTATTTTAATGTAATGTTATTAATAAATAACCATTAGTTCTGGGGGAGGCTGGGGGAACCTGTTCAGCCCTTGGCCTAAGCCAGCTTCAGCTCATGGCACCTCAGAATTCCAGACAATTCCATGCTGTGTTGAGAGGCGATGTTATCAGTTACCTCAGACCCCTCACGCCCCATCTGGAGTTCTAAACAGTTTTGCTCAAATAAGTGTGATTTTTTTTTCCCTAGGAATACAACTCTTCTGAGTTGTTTTCATTTCTAAGCCGCCTTTCCCTGCCTGTCACCATCATCTTTAAAGCTAGAGGTGTCTGGACAATCAGCGTGAGCAGCCAGCAGGCAGGATGCTCCTTACCCCGCCCCGAGGACAGTCTGGCTGGGAGGGTGGGAGCTCAGAGCCGGGGGGTGATGCTGCAGAACTCAACACCTGCTGAGAAAAACAGAATGCAGCAACTACCAAATCCTGGGCATGTAAGTCTTTCACACCAGAAAAGTAGGGAGCCATTCCTCTGCCCAGGGTCTGCCTGCCCACTTCCATGTGGAGGGCTCTTAGGTGAGTCATGAACAAAGAGCACCTTCTTGGGGGTCCCAGCTGCACCTCCTGTGAGCTCCAGCCCCCAGTAGCCCACTAAGCACCTACTGTGCACTGCAGGGCCCCATGACAGCTTGCCACTGGTACTACTGTTATTCACATGTTACAAGAGGGAGACTGCGGCTTCGACAGGGTGACTGCCTGCTCCTAACTCGAAACAGGAGCGAAGGGCCAGGGGCACACCTGGGCCTGACTGACTTCGGAGACTACTCTGAGCCATCCACTTTACACAGCATGTTATTTGCTTTTTTAGGTTGAAGATGTACTTTTATTTAACTTTTATTACAAGTAGGCAATTTCTTCTTTTAACTTAAGAGTAATTTTATAAAAATTTTCTATTGTGGTAAGATACACATAAAATTTACCTTTTTTTTTTTTTTTATGAGACAGAATCTTGCTTTGTCACCCTCAGTACAGTGCCATGGCATCACAGCTCACAGCAACCTCAAACTCTTGGGTTCAAGCAATCCTCTTGCCACACCCTCCCAAGTAGCTGGGACTATAGGCGCCCACCACAATGCCAGTTATTTTTAGAGAAAGGGTCTTGCTATTGCTCAGGCTGGTCTTGAACTTGTGAGCTCAAGCAATCCACTCGCCTGGGCCTCTCAGAGTGCTGGGATTACAGGTATGAGCCACCGCGCCCTGCCAAAATTTACCACTGTAACCATTTCCAAGTGAGTGCACAATCCAGTGGCACTAAGCACAGCCACGCTGTTGTTCAACCATCACTACTGTCCATCTGCACAGCCTTTTAGCCTCCCCAACAGAAACTGTAGACCCCCAAACAGCTCCCTGTTTCCTTCCCCCAGCAACCTCCATTCCCCCTTGGGTCTCCATTGTGCGCAGGTGTAAAGGCTACAGATGGAGTATTTCCTGAGGACAGACTGAATCTGACCTGCACAAGGCAGGGCTGCCTGTGGCAGTCTCACTGGTGCCTGTCCCCTTTCCTGCTGCACCTGCTCACCTCTGGGGGGGCCTGGCCCCGAGCTGGTGTCTGCCCTTCCCTGCTAGCCCCGTCTGCAAGCTGTGTTTCTTCTGCATCTGTGAACAAGAGAGTGCAAAAGACATTACTCCATCCAGAACATCTCTGGGATTTCCTTTAAAACATCCCAAGAAGAAGAGTTTCACATTCACTCACAACATGAGGAAAAGGTAAAGGTATCAGAAAAAAAGCACAGACAAACTTCAGTTCTCTGCATGCTGGCCAGGTCATTCTTTTAAAGGGAGATTTAGGCCAGAGACTCACAGAAAGAAATCAGGTCAAAGGTCAGGAAGCCAGAGGCCTGGTGCAGCGGGGCTCACGCCTGCTCTGCCCACCTGAGTTTGGTACGAAGTTAGGAGGAATAGGTAGCGGGGCCAGTGGAGCAAAGAAATCCGCAGGAGCAAGAGGTGCTTCATTCCTCTGGGACCCACATGGGTTTAAAACGTCAACATAACGGGCTCTTGTTCCGGCTACAAAGTGGGGAGAGGAGGCAGAGTCAGCTCAATGCAGGAAATGACTTCTGGCGTCCAAACTGCTCCATTTCCCTTATGACAGGAGAAGTAGGGATGTGGTGGGGGGCCACATGTGGCCTGTGACCAAGGCCCTCTCTGCCGAGCAGCTTTGCCTGGGCTTTGCCCCTGGGGGGAGGTTTCCTGTTTCTTTTCTTTTTTTTTTTTTTTTAAGAGACAGAGTCTTACTTTAGTGTCCTTGGTAGAGTGCTGTGGTGTCACGGTTCACAGCAACCTCCAACTCCTGGGCTTAGGCGATTCTCCTGCCTCAGCCTCCTGAGTAGCTGGGACTACAGGCGCCCACCACAACGCCTGGCTATTTTTTGTTGCAGTTTGGCCAGGGCCAGGTTCAAACCCGCCACCCTCGGTATATGGGGTCAGCGCCCTGCCCACTGAGGCACAGGTGCCGCCTGGTTTCCTGTTTTGTCCCGCAATGTCTTCTCGTTTTGGACTGATCAGACACCCTGTGCCTGCAGTTCATCAACCAATGGTTTGTGGAGGAAATGTTTTAGTATTCTAGAGAATGGGATTCCTTGCCCAAGGATTCATCTTCATAAAACTAACATTACCTTCTGCAACATGACAAACTATGTATTGCACCATACGTGTTACACTAGCTAAACCCAGCACATCTCTTGGACTATAAATTACCCAAACAAGCTCTGCCTCCAGGGTGACTCTTACCTGCTCTCCTAGAGAACACGTTCACCCCTGCAGGGCCCGAGGGGGCAGCTTGCACCACCATGGGAAATGAGGTTGGAGGAGGGGGTGGAGCCTTCTTCTGCAGAGGGAAGCACAGCTTCAGCTACCCACAGGGATACTCCTCAGGCCACTCCAAAAGGAGTGCCTAACACCAGATACCACAGGCACAGGAAAGGCTTTTCCTTCCCTGGATAGTCAAACCCCCAATAATTACTGAAATACTGAAATTACAATTTACCTCCTCTTCTGGTTCATTTAAATTCACCCATTGGTTTTTCTTTTCATCCCAAACAATCTGTCAAGATTTTTAAAAAGACAACTATCAGTAGATTGAAGCTAAATAGAATTAGAATCTGATATACTGTGACACTTTAAAACTTCAGAAAATGCTACTCAGGTCTGTTCTCAATGTGTTAGACAAATCACTAAAGTTCCTCCCAATCCCCACTATGCTGTATTATATGATGCTCACCGATTTGTTCTTGTCATCTGGCAAATAAGCTTCTGTCCTTTTTTTCCCAGGTAGCCAACGAGAGAACCAGGATTCACTCTAAAGTATAAAACCATCAGAATAGGCTTGGAAACATAATGTTTGGTGAAATAAGCAGACATAAAAAGCTAAGTGATGCATGATTCATTTCTCCGAGGTTCCTAAGTCATCATGTCCATAGAGATAGGAGCAGAACAGGTGTTGCTAAGGGTAGGGAGGGGAGCAGGGAGTCAGTGTTTCAAGGGGACTGAGTTTCCATTGGGAAAATGAAAAAGTTCTGGAGGCAGCTGAGGGTGATGGCCACATAACAGTGCAAAAGTGCCTGATGACACTGAACTGTGCCCTGAGAAATGGTGACAATGGTAAATTTCAAGTTATGTGTATTTTACCATAATTAAGTCAGACCAATAATGTGCCTATAGGAGCTTCTGCCATCTAAATGTCTGACAGTTGAAGCCTCCACACCCTCCTGGCCTCAGCAGTGGAAGGTGGACTGAGGTCAGCGTGGGGTCCCACACAGTGAAGCCGCCCATGCCAGGAGAACATTGGTATTAAGAAAATCTACCTATTCTTCACATCTGCACTTCATCCTGCTTCTCAGTGATGCCTAAGCAGACAAGCTTATACTTGACACAGTCTACAAGAGCCTGTTTGCTTAAAATGTGTTTGAAGCACCAGGTTTTATATCACACTTCACACACATTTTGAGTTAAAAGTGTGTTTATTTTTAATTAAGATAGTAGTCATAAAAGAAAAATCTGATAACTGAACTCTATTAAAATGAAGAACTCTGTTCTTCAAGATACTTAGGAGTAAAAAGGCAATCTGTAGATTGGAACAAGATATTCATAATACACATTTTTAACAAAGGACTTGTACACTCCTGCAAGGCACTGAGACAAGCCAATTAAAATGGACAAGGCCTGTGCTGTGGCTGTTGCTTGTAATCCCAGCTACTTGGGAGGCAAGTAGATTGCTTGAAGCCAGGAGTTCAAGACCAGCCCCAGGCTGGGCGTGGTGCCTTATGACTGTAATCCTAGCACTTGGGAGGCCAAGGCAGGTAGACTGCTGGATCAGCCTGAGCAAGAGCAAGACCCCCCTCTCTAAAAAAGATAGCTGAGTGTTGTGGTGGCACTTACAGTTCCAGCTACTTTGGAGGCTGAGGCAAGAGAACTGCTTAAGCCCAAGAGTTTGAGGTGCTTGAGAGTTATGATGCCACAGCACCCTACCCAGGACAACAAAGTGAGACTCTGTCCTCCCCCCAAAAAAGACCAGCCTCAGCAACACAGCAAGACTGCATTTAATTTTTAAAAATGAAAATAAAAAATTTTTATAAGTATGCAGAGACTTGAGCAATTACTACCCAGAAGGGCACAGAGGCAGTAGTGAGCTTATGGAAGGTCCTCAGCATCAGCACTCCCCAAGAAGTGCCACGTAAGACACAGGAAGTACCGCCAACCCCAGCCAAATGCTAAAGGGTCCAAGACCGGCCAACACCCAGCACCAGTGGAGATGGGGCCAACTGGGTGCTCACCCTCAGCTGCTCAGGAAAACCATTCAGCAGGACCTCTTAAAGCCATACACACACTCATTCTGTGACCTAAAAACTCCACTCCTTGGCATATACCCAAGAGAAGTGAGGCCATTCACCCACCAACAGGTACAGACAGGAATGCCCCTCTGGCCTTACTGGTGTATCTCCAAACTGAAAATAATCCAGACACCTGTTACTGGGAGAAAGGATAAACTGAGGCATAGGCACACAGCAGATCCTGACACAATGAGAACCAATTGGTGTCCTCTGATGCCTTTGGCCACCCTCTGGGGTGGGTCTGATAGGTAGTGACGATGAGGGAACCTGAGAGCCTAGATATGACCTCACGCTCACCTGGGTGATGGCTGCTGTGTGTACAAATACATGTTCATCACACTATTGTACACTTTTAAACACCTGACTGCACAAATAATTTAAAATGCTCATTTTAATTAACAAAATTCCTTGCCTCTGGGGCACTCCAAGCTGCCTCTGGGAAGCTGAGCCTTCTTGCCCAGACCTGCTGCTGTCCCGCCCTGCAAGGTGAGCACACTGGGGGACCCTGCAACCACCCCACCCCACAGGGTGAGCACACTGGGGGACCCTGCTACCACCCCACCCCACAGGGTGAGCACACAGTGGGACCCTGCTACCACCCCACCCCACAGGGTGAGCACACAGTGGGACCCTGCTGCTGTTCTGCCTGCAGGGTGAGCACACCGGGGGACCCTGCTGCTGTCCCGCCCTGCAGGGTGAGCACACTGGGGGACCCTGCTACCGTCCCGCCCCACAGGGTGAGCACACTGGGGGACCCTGCTGCTGTTCCGCCTGCAGGGTGAGCACACTGGGGGACCCTGCTGCTGTTCCGCCTGCAGGGTGAGCACACCGGGGGACCCTGCTGCTGTCCCGCCCTGCAGGGTGAGCACACTGGGGGACCCTGCTGCCGTTCTGCCTGCAGGGTGAGCACACTGGGGGACCCTGCTGCCGTCCCACCCACAGGGTGAGCACACCAGGGGACCCTGCTGCTGTCCCAACTACAGGGTGAGCACACCGGGGGACCCTGCTACCATCTCGTCCCGCAGGGTGAGCACACCAGGGGACCCTGCTGCTGTCCTGCCCTGCAGGGTGAGCACACCGGGGGACCCTGCTACCGTCCCACCCCACAGGGTGAGCACACTGGGGACCCTGCTGCCGTCCCACCCTGCAGGGTGAGCACACTGGGGACCCTGCTACTGTCCCACCCCACAGGGTGAGCACACTGGGGGACCCTGCTACCATCCCACCCTGCAGGGTGAGCACACAGGGGACCCTGCTGCCGTCCCGCCCCGCAGGGTGAGCACACTGGGGACCCTGCTACTGTCCCACCCTGAAGAGTGAGCACACTGGGGGACCCTGCTGCTGTCCTGCCCCACAGGGTGAGCACACTGGGGGACCCTGCTACAGTCCCACCACACAGGGTGAGCACACTGGGGGACCCTGCTACCATCCCACCCTGCAGGGTGAGCACACAAGGGACCCTGCTGCCATCCCGCCCCGCAGGGTGAGCACACTGGGGACCCTGCTACTGTCCCACCCTGAAGGGTGAGCACACTGGGGGACCCTGCTGCTGTCCTGCCCCACAGGGTGAGCACATTGGGGGACCCTGCTTTACCTTCTTAGGTTCTTTGACTTCTTTCTTAACAGCCTGTCCAGGCCGCTTCATTTCAGGAGCAGGTGTCAGAGAAAGAGGTGGCTGAGTGGAACCCAAGTTAACACGATCCCATCCCGTGGGGGTCTCTGCATCTGGCACTGTTCTTGAGGGTCCCTGTCCCAAGGCAACACAAGAACAGGTTCTCCTGGGGTACTTCATATAGGATCAAAAGGAGGCCAGAGCAGGGGTACCTACACAAAGGTCCCCTTCAAATATCCCTGGGAGGTCAGCTGACTCTCAGTGACCAGAGCAGGGAGGGGTCTGAGGAATGCAGCCCCCATCATGGGCACCCAGGAGCCTCCACCTGGGCCTAACTAGACCAGAATAAACACACTTCACAAGCAGCTTTGTCCAAGAGTGTAGAGAGCTCAGAATGCAAATTCTGGCATTCAGGGGGACTTATAGGCTGGAAGAAATGGAATATATAAACACGTACACCAAGGACAAGACTGCTCAGAGCTCAGCAGTATGCATTTTTTTGGCCGGGGCTGGGTTTGAACCCGCCACCTCTGGCATATGGAGCCAGTGCTCTACTCATTTGAGCCACAGGTGTCACCGAGCAGTATGCATTTTTAAAGAGAAAATGATTTTTATATACATTTATTCCTAGGTTGAGACTTTTTTTTTTTTTGTATAGACAGAGTCTCACTTTATCACCCTGGGTAGAGTGCCATGGCATCACACAGCTCACAGCAACCTCCAACTCCTGGGCTTAAGCGATTCTCTTGCCTCAGCCTCCCAAGTAGCTGGGACTATAGGCACTCGTCACAACGCCTGGCTATTTTTTGTTGCAGTTCAGCTGGGGCCACGTTTAAACCTGCCACCCTTGGTATATGGGGCCGGTGCCCTACTCACTAAGCCACAGGCGCCACCCTGAGACATTGTTTTCAATACAGGTAGGCCTTCATTGTTACTGTTCCAGAAACAGAATATTTTGGTAAAACATGCAATCAAAGTTTAAACTGCAGCAATTGCCTACAGGTTGGATGGCCATGAAGAGCTGGGTGTCTGTAAAGAAGGCCCTAGAATTCAGGCTGCATTAAAACACCTGTCCCTTCTGGCTGGGATCAGGGCCAATAGAGAGTATTTATCAAACGTGTCTGGTAAAATGAATCTTGATTTTAGGAAAGAAGTGAAAATGTTATAAACTCTCATTGTAGAAGAAAATCTGGTGTAGAAAGCAGGAAAATTTTCTATTTTAGAAAAGTTAAAATTAATAAGGGATTTCATTAAATCTGGGCATCCTCCTACTTAAAGCAGCTGTCTTCAAACTGCTGAGTCTCTCCCCATCTTTCCTTATCAACATCTTCGCAAACTTCATATTTTAAGGATTAAAGCTATTTAAAAAAAATTTCCTCTTTAAGAAACCATTTAAAAAATAATTCCATCATCTTTAATATCTTTGCATACACCCAAACAAGGAGTTTGGGCACCTACTCAATGAGCTTCACAGAAAACAAGTAATTAAAAATGTGTGAAAAAGTACCAGATTAGCAAAATTTCCACCCAAGTCCTCTTCACTGGGCTCCGGAAGTGAGTTTCGGACAGGCGCTTCTGGTGGCAGCATCCCTGCCGGTGGGAGAGAGCAACTGTGGCCGCAGTGCCGTTGCACATGGGCCAGAGGGAGCCAGCATTTGTGGGACCCACAAGTCAGAACACACCAGCTGCCTCCTGGGCTCACCACAGTGCTGTTTTCAGAAACCAAGAATGGAATTTTTCCCAAATGTTTGGAAATGTCAGGCACAGAGTAAGACCCACCCAAACCCCTCCCAGCCCCACCTATGTGTCTGACATGGTGCTCAGAAGGACCATCTGAGGACAGGCTTGAGGAATAGGCCAGGCCATTCTGCCATGTCCTGAATGGTCATTTAAGCTTCACATTATAACAAAAAGCCAAGTCATGAAAGAAATTAGTATTGATATTCTGACTATAGTGAGACTCCTCATTCATACGTGTATAACTTCCAGAATTTTTGGTTTACATTTAGACAATGTAACTTATTCCAAGTGCCAATGATTTCAGTCTCTCCTCAACCCTCCCTCTAGAGCACCAGGCCCAATGTTGCTTCTGTTCTCTAGACAGAACCTTGGGAGACCCACCTGGGTCAGCGCTCCTGGCCTCTTGGAGGAGGAGTCTGCTTTCCTGGAGAGATGATGTGCCAGGTGGCAGGCCAGGCCCTGGGTACAGAGCTGTAGGATCAGGCTTGGAGGGCTCTGGGAAGCCAGGTGCAGACCCTGGGGGTCCATAGGCAGGACCGGACTCAAGAGGGCCTGGGGGCGGTGGCACTGGGAACATTGGCACCCTGGCAGGGTTGGCCAGCTGGGCACTGGTGAGCATCTGTGGAGCTGCACAGGGGCAGTGAAGAAGAAATCAGAGGCTGCTGAGGCTGACTCCAGTCACTAGAAGGAGCTGACTTAACATGTCTATCATGAGTTATTTTATGTAGCCACATTCCTTTCATTAGGAGATCCAATAACCAAAGCAGAAAGTGCTGAAGACACCAAGTCATCAATGGTTCAGAGAAAAGCAGAATATTTACCTCCCAGGAATGGGGGCAGGAAAGACAGCTGTGTGCACCGCAAGTGCCCACCATGAAACTCCAATGCAAGCTGCTGAGTGGCCCCTGGGCACAGAGCTCTGCTGTGTGTGCTGACTCCTCTCCTCTACTCTGGGAGTCAACAGAATCCACCCACCCATCTCCACACACTCCAGGAAGAGCTGCTGTCACCAGTACCAGTCTGGGCACCAGACACATCAGCAACCCAAGCATAAGGGGTCCTAACTGGGGGAGGTGGGGGTTGGATGAACCAATTCAGAAGATGAGCTAAGGAGAACAACTGACCATGGAGTGGTAATAGGTCAGCTACAGGTGAAGAGAGGAGAGAAGCAAGTGATGAAGCAGCAGGGGGCTGGCAGCTCGGGTCATGAGCATGGCTGGAGCACCAAGTGGGAGAAATGGCATTGGAGGGTTGTAGGGCCAACTCTGCAGGGCCTGTGGGCGAGAGGGGGTACCCTGGAGGATCTGGGGGAGCACCAGGAGGTGGTGGGGGGAGGAAGGGTGCTCACTCAGGCAAGCAGTGAGGGCATGACATAGGTGGGATGACACGCTGACGAGATTCACTGACAAACTAGAGGCGCCGAGTAAGGAGAGATTTGGGGCTGGGCACAGTGGCTCTCACCTATAATCCTTGGACTCTGGGAGGCCAAGGCAGGTGGACTGCCTGAGCTCAGGGGTTCAAGACCAGCCTGAGCAAGAATGAGACCTCATCTCTAAAAATAGCTGGGTGTTGTGGAGAGTACCTATAGTCCCTGCTGCTCAGGAGGCTGAGGCAAGACAATCTCTTGAACCCAGGAGTTTGAGGTTTCTGTGAGCTATAACGCCACAGCACTCTACCAAGGGTGAAAAAAAAAGGTGGGGGGAAGCTTTAGGCCCCAACTCCTGAAAGAATCAGGGTTGCCCTTCCTGGGAAGAACAGATGAAGAGCAGGCTGCGTTGAGGACTTATGGAGGGCCTTCTCAGATTCAGTATGCCTGAGAGGCCCCAGAGAAGTATGTGGGCAGGCTAAGGAACAGGGACAGCTAGGTTGGGAATGGCAGTGTCATCGATGTGTGGGCATTATAGCGGCAAACTTGATGGGCTTCCCAAAAGAGACAGCATGATGACAAGGAGGAGGAGAGCTCCCCAGACCACTGTCGTGGCATGAGACAGCCCCTCCATCTTCCTGGCAGCACAGCACACACACTGCACACCTGCTGAGTGTGGGAACTCACCGGAAGGCAGTAGCCGCACACCCTGGCTCAGGTGCTCAGTGCTCGGCACAGGCACCCCTAGCAGCAGGTTATCAGGCTCCAGATCCACCGGCTGACCAAGTCCTGGACCATCCAGCTGTCCCCCCTCGGAGCTGGGTGTGCTAGGACACTGCTGGGTGAAGGCTCCATCTTGAATCCAGACCACAGCCCCCTCCTAAGGGAGAAGGCACACCTGGCAGCCTGAAGCTCACAGTGACAGCCTCCCCACTCCCGCCCCCCACATCCCCCAATAAAGCCCTTTCTGGGGAATTAGAAAATTCTTTTTTTTTTGAGACAGAGTCTCAAGCTGTTGCCCTGGGTAGAATACCGTGGCATCACAGCTCATTGCAACCTCCTACTCTTGGGTTTAAGAGATTCTCTTGCCTCAGCCTTCCAAGTAGCTGGGGCTACAGGCACCCGCCACAATGCCCGGCTAGAATTAGGAAATTCTAACAAAAGGCAAACTTCTGATTATATGAGCTCAAATACTTGGGAGTTCTTCTCAAATGTCTCTGTGCCAAGTCCTAAAACAAGGCTGACCTATCTAAAGGTGAGCACTGTACCTTGATCTGCTTCTCCACGTGCTGCAGGTGAACCAGCCATGTAGGCTCAACAAAGGATTCCTCTTCTGGCTTCTCTTTTAGCTGAGGATCGAATAGTCGTAACTGGGATGCTACCTAGACACACATGCAAAGTGAAGATCCCTGTTACTACCAGGTGATAACACACAAACCTCTTTCCAAAACACATATACTTGAACAAAAACAGCTCCGGTGTTACATGGAGGTTAAGTTTTAACTAGCTACACAGATGTTTCTAAAGTGAGCTTAAAGATGCTCTGTTGGGTGATCAGAAGCAGCCTGCCCACGAATTTGTGACAGGTATATATGCCTGGCCACATGTGTGTGGGTCAGCAGCTCTAGTCCCAGGACAAGCAAGCTCTGGGCTACTAGATCATCACACAGACTCAACTTTATCCTCACCAAAATGGGGTTGGCACCTATAGCTCAGCAGCTAGGGCACCAGTCACATACACTGGAGCTGGCGGGTTTGAAT